TTTGCGGCCAAGTTGAGCAATTAGCCCCTCGTGGAAGTCAGCTCACGAGGTTCGTTTCTTTTTTGTGTACTTTTATTTTCATATACACACAAATGTATTTTAATACGTTTTTTGTATGTGATTCTTTTTGTGAGCAGTTCTCACGGGTTGCAAGGGTTCCAAATACAAGAATAAACCCTGTTTTATCTACCTCGTGCTCATGCTATTTCCTGAGGGTGCTACAGTGAGAACTCTTCTGCTCCGCATGGGTAGGCGAGACGGTGCCAGCGCCAGGGTGCAGAGGGACGACAGCGCCTCCATTAACCACGGCCACATGCACAACAAGCAACTAAAGCGGGAAATCCAGGTTTCCAAATGAATGTTGCCACAAAGACTAAGTTTATTTCATAAGTGAATAATATAAACACAAAGGACAATTATAATAAGTAAGAAGACACAGTATTTCATCTGTTGTTGATCTGAGGACTGAAATAATTTTCAATTGATTTTTGTTTCAAGTTTAAGTGATTTTGCATACAATATTATTATTTGTGTTTATGCTAAGTTACTACAGTGTTCATATTTGATTGTTATCAGTTACAGTTGATGAAAGGATTTTATTATTGGTATATTCAAGATGTATGCTTGCTTATACTGTGATTTAAGTCAAACAAAATAAGTCAAGTTTAAGTTACACTTAGACAATTTTATAATATTTACTGTGCTATTAAGTTACATTAGTGTACAGTAACAGTTATATAAGCCAATAACCTCTTTATTTAACATCAAATATCTGATTGAACCCTAAGATATTCCTATCAATACCAAACAAAGTAGTAGTAACCAATGGTGAACGTTAATGCTCTCTCTGAAGTTGGTGAAGAAAGTGATGAGACACTGAAGATAAATGAGCCACAAGATGAATCTAATAGCGTTGCAGATGATAATTCCACTCGTTCACAAGATGCACAAAGAAGCCAAAGAGTCCGAAGGTTAACGGAAAAGGGGCAAGAGCTGCACGATGATCAGGTAAAGAAAGCCACACATCGTTTCAGTATGTGCTATGAGAAGTGGAAGGCTGTCACTAAAGATGCTAAAGGTGCTATGGATGGATCTGGCTCCAAGAATCTTCTTACTGAACACGTCTCTCAGGTAACAAGTGCCTTGAACAATGTTTGTTCAGCATATGATGGCTTGCGACGCATGGTTTCTCCTGATGGTGATATAAGACGCAGGATGGACACATGCGAAGCAGTTACAAGGAGAATCTGTGAAGCATCAGAAAAACATCACAACCCAACTAAGGAGGGAAGTTTATGCTTAGAACATCCAAAGGATACAGAGTCAGTATTTAAGTTTGCTGCAGCATCAAAGACTAACTCAAAGGTGTCCTCCAGTCACTCCAGCAGACATTCCAGCTGTCACTCCAGCAGACATTCCAGTAAAAGGCAAGATGCTGCTGCTGAAGTTGCTGCAAATGAAGCTGCTTTAGAAGTTCTACTTGAACAAGAAAATCGAATCAAGGAGATTGAAAAACAAGAAGCAGAACTTGCACAAAGGCAAAGAGATTTAGAAGCTAAGCGCAGAGAAGTAGAGTGGCTGGAGACAGTTAAAAAACTAAAAGCTGCTAAAGCAAGGCAACAAGTGTATGAACATAGTGAGTGTTCAGATGAAGAAATATATGATCTGCTTCACCAGCGCACATCTGACAATGAAAAGAAAGTGAAGTCGGACAACAAAGACTCTCCTATTAAAATGCAATGTGCTCCACAAAAAATGATGGCTCCATTTGAAGCAAACACAACAGAGCTAGTTAGAGCATTTGCAGAGTCTCTAAGTGCGAGTCGTCTCCCGGTCCCAGAGCCAACTATATTCAGTGGCGACCCCCTCAAGTACAATGACTGGAAGATTTCCTTTCAAACGCTCATAGACAGGAAAGGTATACCAGCTGAGGAGAAGTCATACTATTTGAGAAAGTATGTGAGTGGACCTGCCAGACAGGCCATAGAAAGCTATTTTCTTCTTGGCACAGAGCCAGCCTACTACACAGCATGGGAAGTTCTTGAAGAGAGGTATGGCAATCCATTCCTCATAGCCAAGGCATTTCGGGACAAACTCGATGCATGGCCAAAGATAAGTTCAAAGGGCAGTGTGGAACTTCAAGAGTATGCAGATTTTCTTCGCAGTTGTAATGCAGCTATGTCACAAATCAAAGGACTTGAAGTGCTTAATGACTGCAACGAAAACCAAAAAATGCTTGCCAAACTACCTGACTGGCTCACATCAAGCTGGAATAGAAAGGTAACAGAAATGCAAGAAATATACCACACGTTCCCAAGCTTCAGCCGTTTTGCAGAGTTTGTGTCCTATGAAGCCAAAATTGCATGTAATCCCATTAGATAAAAGATACAGATTCAACCACACAAGCTACAAATGTCACAACTAGTGAAGCCACTTCAAACAGAGTAATGCAAAACTCTAAAGACACTCACACATCCTCGATCATACCAGTGTGGGTATCAGCTGAAAGCGAGCCAGAACGAGAAGTTCTAGTCTATGCGCTCCTTGACACACAGAGCGACACTACCTTTATTTTAGGAGAGACTGCAACAGCTCTAAATACTAAAAGTGAACCTGTTCAATTAAAACTGACTACTATGTCTTCAAGGAACGCAGTTGTCTCGTGTCACAAGATCTCTGGTTTGCAAGTGAGAGGATTTAACTCCAACAAGATCATTACCCTACCAGCAACATATGCAAGGGACTTCATTCCAGCAAATCGAGATCACATTCCGACACCCGAAACTGCAAAGGCATGGTCACATCTTGAACACATTGCAGATGAAATCGCTCCACTTCAAAGCTGCGACGTTGGTCTTCTGATCGGCTACAACTGTCCTCAAGCACTAGTTCCCCGTCAGGTGGTGTCTGGCAAGGAAAATCAGCCATTTGCACAAAGAACCGATCTGGGATGGAGCATCGTGGGCTTTGGAAATCCATGTTTTGATTTTGGAGATCAGTTTGGAATGAGTCATAATGTTATTGTTAAGAAAGTGGTGCCTGGTGCTCAAACATCTTCAAACCTCACCAATGAAGTGCATTATGTTTACAGGACTCAAATCAAGGAGATTGTTTCACCTGCTGATGTACTAAGAATGTTGGAGTCTGACTTTGTGGAAAAGGCCTCAGAAGATGTTAAAATCTCTCAAGAAGATCTGAGATTTTTGACCAGAATGAAGGAAGGCATTAGACTCAAAGAGGATGGACATTTTGAGATGCCGCTTCCGTTCAAGTGTGAAAGGCCTAACCTTCCCAATAACAAAATATGCGCCATCCATAGACTCAGATGCTTGGAAAAGAAGCTAAGGAGAAACAAACAGTACTATGTGGACTACAAAAGGTTCATGGAGGAGATCCTAGCTCATGGTGATGCTGAGAAGGTACCTCAACAAGACATTGAGAAGTCCCCGGCATGGTACATCCCACACCATGGGGTGTATCATCCACAAAAACCGGGAAAGATCCGCGTTGTCTTTGATGGCTCCGCTAAGTTTCAAGGAACATCCATAAATGATCATCTTCTGACCGGCCCAGAGCTTACCAACACCTTGCTCGGAGTCCTGTGTCGTTTCCGCAAAGGCCCAGTGGCAATAATGTGTGACATAGAACGCATGTTCCACCAGTTTCACGTGTGTGCCCCTGACCAAGACTATCTACGGTTCTTATGGTGGGAGAATGGTGACCTCGACACTCCATTTGCCATTTACAGAATGAAGGTACACCTATTTGGTGCGGCTTCTTCCCCAGGTTGCGCAAACTTCGGCCTTAAGCACCTGGCATCCGAAGGAGAGGGACACTTCAGCAAAGAGACAATAAAGTTTATCAAAACAAATTTCTATGTCGACGACGGATTAGCAAGTGTCGGTACCGAAAGTCAAGCAATACAACTCGTCAATGAGGCGCGTGAACTCTGCAGCAAAGGCAACTTACGTTTGCACAAGTTCATCTCAAACAGCACCAAGGTTCTTGTCTCACTTCCGAGTGAAGAATGCGCTGTATCTGCCAAAGATTTGGACATGGCGTTGAGTGAAGTTAAAATGGAGAGAGCACTTGGTGTGCAATGGTGTGTAGAATCAGACCAGTTCCGGTTCAGAGTCACTGTGAAAGAAAAGCCACTCACTCGAAGAGGAGTTTTGTCAACCGTTGCCTCAGTGTTCGATCCACTTGGATTCGTGTCACCCTTTATCTTGCTGGGAAAGCAGATCCTTCAACAAATGTGTCGAGACAAACTCAGCTGGGATGACACCTTACCTGACAGTCTACGACCTCAGTGGGAAGCTTGGCTGCTTGACCTGAGGAATCTAGCAGAAGTCAAGATTCAGAGATGCTACACTCCAACTAACTTCAATACACAGCATTATGAACTACATCATTTCTCTGATGCCAGTACGTCTGGATATGGCATGTGTACCTACCTCAGAGCTGTAAGTTCATCCGGGGAAGTCCACTGTTCTCTGGTGATGGGAAGATCGAGAGTTCCACCATCGAAGGTCACAACCATTCCACGACTTGAGTTGTCAGCTGCTGTTGTTGCTGTTCGCACCGGTGACATGTTGAAGAAGGAGCTGGAAGTTGACATCTCACAAGAAACTTACTGGACGGACTCAAAGGTTGTACTAGGATACATCGGGAATGAAGCCAGAAGGTTCCATGTATTCGTTGCAAACAGAGTTGAGCGTATCAAACAAAGCACTAAGCCTACACAATGGAAGTACGTGGTGTCCGAAGAGAATCCCGCAGACCACGCCTCAAGAGGTCTTACAGCTGAACAACTTGTAGCCTCAAACTGGTTTACAGGTCCTGATCTTCTCTGGCAGAAGGTCTTGTCCAGTGATGAAATCAAGGTGGGAGAAGTATCAAGCAATGACCCAGAAGTTAAGAAGGTTCAAGTACTCAAGACACACGTTAAAGAAGAAAGGTCACTTCTGGATCGCTTGCATAAGTTCTCTGACTGGTCAAGAATGATCAAAGCCATTGCTAGACTCCGGCGTCTTGTAAGAGAGGTAAAGGAACGCAAGACAAGATCTTCTGAGATGAGTAGCATAGAAGAGAGAAGAGAAGCAGAGTTGACAGTTTTGAAGTTGGTTCAAGAAACTGCCTTCTCTACGGAAATCAATTCATTAAAAAATGACAAGGTAGTCCATACTACAGACAAAGTGACAAAGCAACACAAGTTGTGTCCTTTCATCGATGACCAAGGCATACTTCGAGTTGGAGGAAGACTCAAGCATGCTACCCTACATTTCAATGTCAAGCATCCTGTGATTCTTCCAAGAGACAGTCATGTGTCAACATTACTCGTCAAGCATTTTCATGAGAGAACATACCATCAAGGACGAGGAATCACCATGAACGAGCTCCGCGCAAACGGATATTGGATTCTTGGATGCAGCAAAGTAGTATCATCTCACATCTTCAAGTGTTTAAAGTGTAGAAAGTTCAGAAGGTGTACAGAGCAACAGAAGATGGCAGACCTCCCGGAAGATCGAATGGAGACTACACCACCATTCACTTACTGCGGAATGGACTGCTTCGGCCCGTTTTATGTCAAGGAAGGCAGGAAGGAGTTGAAGCGCTATGAACTGCTTATCACCTGTATGTGCTCCAGAGCAGTACACATTGAGATGCTTGATGATCTAAGTACTGATGCTTTCATCAATGCACTGCGCGCCTTCATCGCCATAAGAGGTGCAGTTCGCCAAATAAGATGTGATCAAGGCACGAACTTTGTTGGCGCCAGAAACGAGTTCGCTGAAGCACTCAAAGAATTGGACCAAGCTAAACTGGAAACTATGGACTGCGAGTTTCTCATGAACACCCCAGCCTCCAGTCACATGGGCGGTGTTTGGGAACGACAAATACGCACCATAAGAAGTGTTCTGACGTCAATCCTAGAACAATCATCGAAACAACTCGACTGTTCTTCTCTGAGGACATTCCTGTATGAAGTCATGGCAGTGATAAACAGTAGACCACTCACTACAGATCACCTGTGTGATCCAACAAGTCCAGAACCATTAACACCGAACCACATCTTAACCATGAAGTCCACAATCATCTCGCCACCTCCAGGAAACTTTGTTAAGGAAGAACTTTATCTAAGAAAGAGATGGCGTCGTGTTCAGCTTCTCACAAATACCTTCTGGACAAGGTGGAAAAAGGAGTATTTGCTGAATCTGCAAAGCAGACAAAAATGGACTAAACAACACAGAAATGCGAAGATCAATGACATTGTCCTTCTTCAAGATGAAGTTTCCCCACGGAACCAATGGAAGTTGGCCAAAGTCGTGGAGATCTATCCAAGCAAGGACAAAAAAGTGAGAAAAGTGAAATTACTTATAAGTGATCCAACTCTGGATGGAAGTGGAAAACGTATCTCTAAAACAGTTTTTCTGGAGAGACCCATTCACAAGACAGTTGTTCTTTTGGAAGCAGAGTGAAGATACCAATCCATCTTCTTAATAACGGTCTCTCAACAATCTAGTTAGTTCATGATTGTAAATAAGTTAAAATCAGTTCAATATAATTCTTTAAAATGCATAATTCTGTAAATCACATGTGATTGGTGGGAGTGTAAATGTCCCTAATAGCTCTCATTTAATTTTGTTAATATTTGCCATGATTATACTGCCATCTATTGGTGAAACATGAAACGGAACTAACAAGCTCATTACGTTTTGACCCGACCCCAATTCAGTGCGCACTCAGCCAATTCAGCGCCATAGACTGCCGCATTTTTCCCGGTCTCAGGTAAAATCCATAAAATGTTAATAATTGTACAATAATATCTCGAGTAACAAGATGTTAATGTATGTTTTGTATTTAAGTAGACACTGAGACGAAAGCAGTGTGTTTTGCGGCCAAGTTGAGCAATTAGCCCCTCGTGGAAGTCAGCTCACGAGGTTTGTTTCTTTTTTGTGTACTTTTATTTTCATATACACACAAATGTATTTTAATACGTTTTTTGTATGTGATTCTTTTTGTGAGCAGTTCTCACGGGTTGCAAGGGTTCCAAATACAAGAATAAACCCTGTTTTATCTACCTCGTGCTCATGCTATTTCCTTAGGGTGCTACAAAGAGTGTGGAAGTTGAGGAAGCGGTGGGAATAGTGGAATATGAGAGCACAGAGGGAGCCCTAAGTGTGAAGGAAGATAACAGAAGAGGGGAAGATGAGAGAACAGAGGAAGCCATCAGAGCAGACTCAGAGGAAGATGAGAGAACAGAGGAAGCCATGAGAGCAGACTCAGAGGAAGATAAGAGAACAGAGGAAGCCATGAGAGCAGACTCTGAGGAAGATCAGAGAACAGAGGAAGCCATGAGAGCAGACTCAGAGGAAGATGAAGAAGAGACTGTTGTGTCAAATGATCCTGGTTTGTGGCCAGCAAAAATTAGCAATGCAGACAGAGAAAAGATTGTGCAAAAAATAGCCTCTTCTAAAGATAAAGAACAAGAAATGCCACATGATTCAAAAGGTAAAGCCTTCCCCGAATACCTCAAGTACACAAAGTCAGGAAATTGCAGGGAAAAGATTAAGAGAGACTGGGTCATTTACAGCCAAAGCACAAATGCACTATTTTGTATTCCTTGTGTATTATTTGGTCATGAGCTAAAGAAACCTTGTATGAGCGCACTAAGCAGTCAACATGGTTATAAAATCAAAGACATAACATGGCGTCGAATGTATGATAAATTCCCTAACCACGAAAGTAGCAAAGCACACAGGGAGTGCTACTTAAAATGGAAAACCTTACAACAGTCTGTAATGGCAGCTGTACTTGGGGGAATAGACAGCAAGCCGAAGAAGCTCATACAAACAGAAATAGACAAAAATCGAGCTATTCTGAAGAGGATACTAGATGTAACCTTGTTCTTGGCCTCTCGAAATTTACCCTTTAGGGGTAAAACAAAAGACTTGGGGGACATTCATAATGGCAACTTCTTGGGCACCCTTGAGCTCCTGTCCCATTATGACCCACTACTCAACGAACATCTACAAAAAGTCAGAGACAAAAAAACAGGAACAAGACTGACACACTATTTAAGCTCAGATATTCAGAACGAATTTATTGAGTTATGTGGAAAACGAGTGTTAGGTAGTATTCTTAAGGAAAGGGAGGAATCAGTCTATTATTCAGTCATTTGCGATGCTACTCCGGATATTTCACATACAGAGCAAAATGTATTGCTCTTACGATATGTAGGTTTTGATCAAGAAAACAAGAAATGGGAGGTTGTTGAAAGGTTTTTGGAGTTTAAAGATTTTCACAAAAAAACAGGAAGTGAGATAGCAGACATGGTTGTAAATGTGCTTAATAGTCACGGCATAGATCTGAATGACTGCAGGGGCCAAGGCTATGATAATGGGGCAAACATGTCTGGAAAAATCAAGGGGGTTCAAGCCCAATTATTAAAAAAGAATAAGCTGGCTACTTTTTCCCCTTGTGCGTCTCATACTCTGAACCTTGTTGGTGTGCATGCAGCTCAATCAAGTCCAGAGGTTACTAACTTTTTTGGCTTTGTCAATCGTCTTTATGCCCTTGTTAGTGCCAGCCCAGAGCGATGGGCCATCTTTAAGGCAAAAACGGGTTGCACTTTACATCGTCTGTCAGACACTCGGTGGAGTTCAAGGGTTAAGGCTGTTCAACCTATAGCCAAGCACCTGCCCAGTGTCCTAGAAGCTCTTGATGCCATCCTCTCAACCTGCAGTCTGACACCAGAGGCTCGGTCTGAAGCCAGCGGCCTAAAAAAGTATTTTGAAACTTTTGATACCGTTTTTCTGTTGACTGTTTGGGTCAAAGTTCTGCAAGCCATTGACAAAAGGAATATTATTCTCCAGTCAGGGAAATTAACTCTTGAGACAGAGGCAGAAAATATCAGAGCTTTGCAGGAGGAGATGCAACATCTGAGGGATGAATGGGAGAGTTTCTTTTCTGAAGCATCACTTGTTGCACAACAGATGAACATTAACCCTCTGTTCAGGTCAAGATTCAGCCGCCAGAGGAAAAGAAAACGGTTTCACGATGAGACAGAGGTAGAGGGAGCAAGGGAACACAGTGCAGACACCATATTCAGAAACACAGTGTTTCTTCCCATGATGGACCACATAATCAGTGACTTAAGTACCAGGTTTTCCACAACAGCTGAGATCTTGGATCAGTTTTCTGTAGTTGTAAAAATTGGGCCAGTTACGTGATGATCAAATCCATTCTGTATGCCAGCCATTGATTTCAAAATACAACACTGATCTGACTTGTGAATTTGAAGATGAAGTCAGACACCTCAACTCTGTATATAGGGCCACTTTCCCAGGGTGTCTGTCACCAATTGATCTGCTCAACAGCATTTACAAGATGCAGCTGCAGAGTATTTTTGGGCAGGTCTGCATAGTTTTGCGAATATTTTGCACATTGCCTGTGACCGTTGCTGGTGGTGAGAGAGCATTCAGTAAGCTCAAACTGATTTAAAATTATCTTAGGTCTGCTATGTTGCAGGACAGACTTTGTCACCTTGCCATACTGTCCATTGAAAGCAAACTGGCAAAAAAGCTGAACTTTGATGATTTGATACATGATTTTGCCAGCAGAAAGGCCATTATAAAGTGATGTTGAACATAACTTGTTACACCTGGATAACAAACAGTTAATGTCTGGTTCAGTACTTCTTTAGTCCTGGACTGGTTTAGGCCTGGCATTACTCCTGGTGTGTCTTGATTTTGAGCCCTTTTGGCCTAGTTTTAGTCTTGGACTGATTTAATTATGGGTTAGTTGTAGCTGATGTTTCCTGATTGAGCAGTTGGACCCAGTTAAAGCTTGTTCACGTAAAGTATATGTCAATATGTGTACATTATGTTCTGTTGTGTTTGCAATTGCAATTGAGATAATAAATATTCTCCTTTTATGTAAACAAGTACATATTTCCATAGCTTTTATTTGTTTTTGTAGGCTTTTAATCAGACATTTTAACTATGCAATGTGCTAAGTATCTTTTTAAAAATATACAGGGCATGTTTATTGGGTTACATTTTATCTGTAAAAAATGTAGGGGGCCCAGAAATTTTTGTTTCCATAGGGCCCAGAATTTCTGGCGGCACCCCTGGTTCTGTGGCGTGTATGGTCTTATATGACCATGTTACCGCGGCGCCATTCACTCACAGCCGTGTTGTTGTGAGACCGCGGTAAAGTGGGCCGCATCTTTCACCTCCGAAGTAAAACGGCCCGCAACGAGAGAAAAACAGTGCGCGTTTTGTTGACTACTTACGGTAATAGCGGAACAGCCTTTCGGAGTCACCTTTTCTCCTCGAACAGAAAGCGCGCTGAGGAGACTCGTTTTTGTGAATAAACCCATATTTGGAAAGCATTTAATTTGGTCAAAAAGTGAAATTTTCAGCAGCTGTCCATTTTTACAGTAAAGACTTGTGTGGCTTATTCCACTGGGTTCATGACCTCGATATAGCTGCCTTCAACGCTGTGCCTACGACCACACACCTTTACTGTGGAAATGTTGGGTAAAATTGAGACAAAGTACACTTTAGTGCAAAATACACAAAACTGTAAAAACATTCCCGCTTTTGATCTACTGTAACTATTTACTGTAAAAAGGTGTGTGACTCATTTCAATGGATTTATGTCCTCATTATTATGTTCTACCACTGTGCCAAAGACCAGAAACTTTTACTGTGGACATTTGGAGAAATATGGAGTTAAAGTAGCCATTTTGGTTCAAAGTAGCCAAAAAATGGTCAAAACATGTCATTTTTGATCTACTGTAACTTTTTACTGTAAAAAGGTGTGCGACTAATTTCACTGGATTCATGACCTCATGATTGCCATCTACCACTGTACCAGAGACCAGAAACTTTTACTGTAGAAATATTGAGAAATATTGATTTAAACTAGCCATTTTGGTCCAAAAAAAACTAAAAATGGTCAAAACATGTCACTTTTGATCTACTGTAACTTATTACTGTAAAAAGGTGTGCGACTAATTTCACTGGATTCATGACCTCATGATTGCCCTCTACCACTGTACCAAAGACCAGAAACTTTTACTGTAGAAATATTGAGAAATATTGATTTAAAGTAGCCATTTGTCTCCTAAATAGCCTAAAAATGGTCAAAACATGTCACTTTTGATCTACTGTAACCTTTTACTGTAAAAAAGGTGTGCGAATAATTTCACTGGATTCATGACCTCATGATGGCCCTCTACCACTGTACCAAAGACCAGGAACTTTTACTGTAGAGATATTGATTTAAAGTAGCCATTTTGGTCTAAAATACCTCCAAAATAGTAAAAACATGTCACTTTTGATCTACTGTAACTTTTTACTGTAAAAAGGTGTGCGACTAATTTCACTGGATTCATGACCTCATGATTGCCGTCTACCACTGTACCAAAGACCAGAAACTTTTACTGTAGAAATATTGAGAAATATTGATTTAAAGTAGCCATTTTGGTCCAAAATAGTCAAAACATGTCACTTTTGATCTACTGTAACTTTTTACTGTAAAAAGGTGTGCGACTAATTTCACTGGATTCATGACCTCATGATTGCCCTCCACCACTGTACCAAAGACAAGAAATCTTTACTGTAGAAATATTGAGAAATATTGATTTAAATCAGCCCTTTTGGTCCAAAATAGCCTAAAAATTGTCAAAAAATGGGACTTTTGATCTACTGTAACTTATTACTGTAAAAAGGTGTGCGACTAATTTCACTGGATTCATGACCTCATGATTGCCCTCTACCACTGTACCAAAGACCAGAAACCTTTACTGTAGAAATATTGAGAAATATTGATTTAAACTAGCCATTTTGGTCCAAAAAAAACTAAAAATGGTCAAAACATGTCACTTTTGATCTACTGTAACTTATTACTGTAAAAAGGTGTGCGACTAATTTCACTGGATTCATGACCTCATGATTGCCCTCTACCACTGTAACAAAGACCAGAAACTTTTACTGTAGAAATATTGAGAAATATTGATTTAAACTAGCCATTTTGGTCCAAAATAAACAAAAAATGGTCAAAACATGTCACTTTTGGTCTACTGTAACTTTTATTGTGGAAATTTTGAGAAATAATTAGTCAAAGTACCCCCCTTGGTAAAAAATACACAAAAGGGGATACGGCCCCTTTTGTCGACAAGCGGAGGCTCGACAAGTCGACAAGCGGAGGCTCTGCTCCGAGCTCCTTCCGTGTGACTGAGCTCCTCAACCTATCTCTAAAGGTGCTTTCAGACCAATAATTACGCTGATGACACTCAGATCTATGTCTCACTGACTGCAGGAGAGCATGGACCGGTGGACTCACTCCTTCGCTGTATCCAGCGGATCAGTGAGTGGATGCAATGCAATTTTCTCCAGCTAAATGCGGACAAAACCGAAATGATTGTCTTTGGTCCCGAGAAACAAAGAGAGACCGTCATTTGTCACCTTCAGTCTCTCTCCCTAAGGCCTTTAAATAAGGTCAGAAATCTGGGAGTAATAATGGACTCTGACTTAAACTTCAATAGCCACATTGGATCGGTAACATCAGCAGCTTTTTATCATCTGAAAAATATTGCCAAAATTAAAAATATTGTGTCCAGGGCAGACTTGGAGATTCTTATCCATTCTTTTGTTTCCAGTAGGCTGGATTACTGCAATGGCCTGCTCACAGGTATCTCCAAACATGCAGTAAAACAGCTGCAGTATATTCAAAATGCTGCAGCCCGAGTCCTGACTAGAACCAGGAAGTACGACCACATTAGTCTGGTCCTCAGGTCTCTGCACTGGCTTCCCGTGGCCCAGAGGATAGACTTTAAAGCAGCTCTCCTGGTGTACAAGTCTCTCCATGGCCTTGCACCAAAGTACATCCATGATATGCTAGTCCCATATGAACCAGCCCGGACTCTGAGGAGCGCAGGGACGGGACTCCTGTTAGTGCCCAGAGTCAGGACTAGACAGGGGGAGGCTGCTTTTCAGATTTATGCAGCTAAAGTCTGGAACAGTCTTCCTGAGGATGTGAGACTGGCTGCCTCTCTGTCAATGTTCAAATCCATGTTAAAGACTTTTCTTTTTTCCTGTGCATACAACTAGAGAATTTTATCTTTTTAACACACCTTGTTATTTATTGTTGTAACTTTTTGTGTTTTTAACTATTTTATTGTTTTTAATTACTTGTGTGATTCTTATGTTTTTAAATTACTTATGTGATTTTAATGCTTTTTAATTACATATGTGTTTTTAATTGTATTTTAATGGTGATGATTTGTGCATTGTGTGGTGTGGACTGTGAGGCGCTTTGTGTTGCCCTGTGCAGGAAAAGCGCCCTATAAATAAAGATTGATTGATTGATTGAATAGCTTCAAAACGCTTTTGACGCACAATATTTGACGCTGGGTCCGGTGTGAACGCCCCTTGGTGCTTGAAGCTCCTGACGCCGGGTGGGAGGAGCTTCTCTCGCTCCCGCCTGGAGCTCGCACTGATTCCCGCGAAGGAGCGCCTGTCTTTCAGTCGGCTGTGTCTGAGCCAGCTTTAGCTTGTTCTTATACTAAATAAATTACTTTAACTTCACAGCATATGTACATTGATTGTGTTACTTACTTTTTAAGAACGTTACCATTCATACAAATAATATTACAAATAACAATAATGACAATGAAAAAGCAGTAGCAGCTACATGACAGCCCTGCTGCTGCTGCTGCTGCTGCTCCTCGTCTCCAGATTGGTTGAAACCCGGCGTCAAGCTCCAAAAGCTTTTCTCAACTTCGGCGTTAAGGGACTTTTTTACGACAAAAGAGACGCAAGCATTACGCGTGTCAAAAGCTTCAAGTGACGCGCATAATGCTCGCGTCTTTTGAAGCGCTTCAAGTGACGCCTCTCAGCGTCACCTGACGCGCTTCACTATTCATTTTCAGTGCAAAACTGACGCTTTTCAAGTCTAAGTTGAGTCCGGGGTGAAAACACCTTAAGGGAGTGCCCAACCACTCTTTCCCACCGCTTGTATCTACAATCTCGTTCTTTCGGTCATTATCCAAAGCTCATGACCAGAGGTGATGGAGGGAACAAGAATTGACCGGTAAATCGAAAGTGGCCGCATCACTGCGCACGCTGCACAAATCCACCTGTCAATCTCACGCTCCATCCTTCCGTCACTCGTGAACAAGACCCCGAGATACTTGAACTCCTCCACGTGAGGAAGGACCTCTCCACTTTGGCAGCACGGTGGCTGAGTGGATAGCACTGTCGCTTCTCAGCAAGAAGCTCCTGGGTTCGAATCCCAGTCGGAACAGTGCCTTACTGAGTGGAGTTTGCATGTTCCCCGTGTCTGCATAGGTTTCCTCCGGGTGCTCCGGTTTCCCCTACCACTAAAAGCATGCTCAATAGGTATTAATGGCTCATGATGATTGGGGGCTGATCAGTGGGGGCGGGTTCCGGCTCGAAAGTGGCCAAAATGATGCGCTGACATGCTTGCAATACCACCCCGGCCGATGGGGGTGGACCCGGAATAAGAATTAGCCAATGCTAACGTATAGCATTGGCAGACCTCTCGAAAAGGATGGTCCAAAAGTTGGCTCTTGGCCCAAAGCTCCGTTCCACATGTGTGTCAATGCTGAGGGGGGTGAATTTTTTTGGACCACTCTACTTTACTCGCTGGGAATTTTTTAAGTCTCTTGTTCAAATGAATGGAGCTTGCGCCGGCTGACGCATGCGCAGATGCTTTTTTTTCCGCTATATAATTTTTTTTTTATATATATAAATACGCTATATAAATAATCGGGCAATCATGAGGTCATGAATCCAGTGAAATTAGTCGCACACCTTTTTACAGTAATAAGCTACAGTAGATCAAAAGTGACATGTTTTGACCATTTTTAGTTTATTTTGGACCAAAATGGCTACTTTAAATCAATATTTCTCAATATTTCTACTGTAAAAGTTTCTGGTCTTTGGTACAGTGGTAGAGGGCAATCATGAGGTCATGAATCCAGTGAAATTAGTCGCACACCTTTTTACAGTAAAAAGTTACAGTAGATCAAAAGTGACATGTTTTGACCATTTTTAGGCTATTTTGGACCAAAATGGCTACTTTAACTCCATATTTCTCCAAATGTCTACAGTAAAAGTTTCTGGTCTTTGGTACACTGGTAGAGGGCAATAATAAGGATATGAGTCAAGTGAAATTAGTCGCACACATTATTCCAGTAAATAGTTACAATACTTGAAAATTGCACTAGCGGACCAAATTGTGTACTTTATATATGTAAACAATAGAGTGGCTATCCTCCTGAGGACTCACAATCTGCAGGAGGAATCGTAGGGGGCTGGTGCTATGTGTACCGGGTGGCATCTCTATAAGGTTTTAATCACAAAAACGTGTCTCCCAGACCCCAGCGCGCTTTCTGTTTGATAAAAATGGGTGATTCCGAAAGGATGTTCCGTTGTTACCGTAAGTTCTCAAAGAAACGCGCACCGTATTTTCCCCGATGCGGGCCGCTTCTTCATAGAGCTGAAAGATGCGGGCCACTTTACCGCGGTTGTTGTGAGCGGCTCACAGCCAGAGCGGCCGCGGAGGAGGCGGACCTCAGTTCACAGCAAACAACAGCCCAGCGGTGACGCGCCTGTTCTTTTAAAACATGAGTTCCCAGAGGACCTACCTGCTCTGATGCCATCTCACACGCAGCATTCTGAGTGATATTAAAATGGGCGGGTCATTCGGACTTGCGTTAATGCGTTAATTTTTTTTAACGCGTTAATGAAAAATGTAATTAACGCGATAATTTTGACAGCCCTAATTAAAACCCATTTTTATGTGACGAGAGCTGCGGTGATAGTGTCTATACTGGCTCACGGTCTATGGAGGGAGAAGATTTGTTCGCCCCGCTGCCTGCTCCCGCGCAGTTTGCCCACACAAACCCTTTTGTTGGAGCCACAAGTCACACGGGAGGTTTTGTACATAGCACGCCAGCTTCGTACAACCCAGCTGCATGTACCCTCCCCTTCCAGAGTCTATATATTAATCCACCAAGAACTGTGACATATCAAAATCCCATACAGCCCCAACCAGATCACTCATCCCCACATAAGAGCCACTTCGGGTCCCGGAGGACCTCATCTTCAGAGAACGATGACGATTGTGACTTTAAAGAGAGGGTCCCCACTCTACTCCCTGGGCAGTATGATGGAAGTACACCATGGAGAGAGTTTATGCACAAATTTGACCACACTGGTCAGCTAAAACAATGGCGGTTCAGTTGAAATTCTGCTTGGTTGGAGCTGCAGGGGCCATCGTTCACCGGAATCCACGCTCATCGAAATGGGACTACCAGCGGCTACTACAGGAGCTGGAGAGCGCGTACGGCCCTTCCTCCGATCATGCGGCAGCGGTTGCAGTGGAACTGAGGCAGAGAATACGCCAGGCTGGTGAGGCGTTGCATGTTTTCCGGGACGATATTTAAGGAAAAGTGGCTGTGGCCTATGGTGACAGATCCGAGAAGGAGCAGGATGCTATTGCTGTTGAAGTTTTCACAAATGGTTTCGGCGATGCCGATATTATTCAAAAACTGCTGGAAACTCGCCCGTCCACACTGGCGAGAGCTTATGAAATAGCTCATCGCCATAAAACAACGAAGAGAGCTGCATCATACGTCACAAGCATCATGGAGCCTGGGCCCCGCACTGCTGTCGTACGGGAGACTGAGGCTGCTCCTGCTACACCACCGCCAGACCCCGCGCCAAACTGGTATGTTCCAACCACACCCTTAAAGACACAAAACCAGCATAAAAACTTTAAGAAGACTGACGTCCGCTGTCATAATTGCAATGGCTGGGGACACATACGCAATCAGTGCTCCTCCCCCCACAGAACGAGTAGGGGAAAGCTGCAGACCCAGAGCCGAGGCAAATCCACCGTGATAGTGCGCCCTCTGCTGGTAAAGGCAGACATACGACGGTCTTAGCTCTTGGGAATATTCATTTGGATCAAGTCAACGAACGTGAGTAGACTTTAATCGAGTTATTTCATTTTTAATTTCTTATGAACACATTTTTGAAATCGTAGATGCTTCTGTTGTTTGCTAAAGCTAACACTTTAAACAACATACGAATTACTTGATATCCCCCCTAAAGATGAGACGTAATTTTCGTCTTAAAATAGCGTTTAAGCTAGCGTTTAAGTTAGTTGTAAATACACAATACATAATCCCAATTACATAGGCTACCCAAAACATTCAATTATTCATATGTATCAAGGGTATACCTTTACTTTCTGTGGCAAATTATTGCATATTTTAATTTTAAAGAATCTTGGCCAGGACACTTTTGAAAAAGAGATTTTTAATCTCAACGAGCTTTATCCTGCATAAATGAAGGACAAATACAATGTAAAAAAATTGCACCATTATTAATGGCACATTGTTGCATGTATATGTTATTCCAGACTAGTTTTGACCATATTATTATTATCATTATTAGCCCAAAATTATTCATATGTTAATTTGAAATAAAAATAAAAATTACATTATTCTTCCCCGCAGATGGATATTACAATACGAAAGGACAATGATTCCCTGCCTGAGATAAAGAGGTGCACAGATTGCTGCAGTGATTTCCACTGTCCATTCTGTGGTCCGAATCATTTCAAGCCGACAGAGCTGGGAAGAGTGAAGCGTCACCTTAAAATGCACTTCACTAGATCTGTCAATTATGACGGTAACTTCAAAAATGTTTTGACAATTTACATATTTGTAAGACATTCATTAATATCCTGCTATTTCATTTCATTTTCAGGATTTACCATTCACAGATGTGGCCTCTTATGTAGAAAGGACTTACACTTACACACCTGTTTATTTAGATACAGAGGAGCACCAGGATACCCTATTTGTGTACCTCAGAACCCTAATCAAAAGTACACAGACTGTGCTGAAGGTCAACAATGAGGTGGAATTCCTTCTTGTGTGACAATGTTAATGTAACGACTGTTATCCTGTGTCGCTGGAGAACGAGGGGAACGGGTCCTGTACCTGTTATGACGCGCTGCTAATGTGGATGAAGAACGCTACTCGTAACTGCGTTTTTTAAGTGGCATTTAATCATCAGCTTTGAGGATTTAACACATAACACATTGGCCATACGTGTACGTGTACAAAACTTAACAAAACAAACGGTCAACAAAGAAATACGGCTACCCAGATCCCTACGACTTCTCACCTGAACGCCGGTGTCTGCCATATTTAAAGTTCCTGGCATATCCCCAGAGCTCACGTGACTCACGCACCTCCCCTGACGTTACCATAGCAACCCCACACATTATGGCTCTCACAGTTACTGTTTTAGTTTTGATGTTTACTTTATTGTTACTTGTACAGGCAATCATTCATGGAATTTGCCAACTGAAAAACATACCCTGGAAGGAGGCAAAAGAGGCGTACCTCCAGGGAGCCATTTATGAACAAAGGTTATTTTATTTTATTTCAGATTTGCTATTTTTTTTTTTTTTTTTTTTTTACAAGAAACCTTCCAAACATACAACATTTGATTTTTACACATTATTTACATTTTTTTTCAGTGAAGTTGAGGAATTCAACAGAAGGATTTCTGTTGAATTCAGGAAACAGGGAAGACCCTGAAGGTACACATTTTACTTTTTACTTTGTTATGGAATCTGCAAGCTAACATTATTAACCCAATGATTTCTCTCCTTTTCTGTACTGATTACAGCAATGGCTGGTTAGTTACCACAATAAAAATGTTAATTTGTTCCAAAATATTGTCTCTGTCCCTTGTTCCTTATTATTATGAACAAATGAAGGCACTGTCCTACAAAATACAATGAAATATTGGAGTAAAACATAACATTTTAATTTAATAAAATAACCAAAATAATAGTACATGTAAACTAAGTTACACCACATTGTAAATTACACACAATAATCCCAGCAATACAACTGTAAAACGTGAAATAAATACCGTCGTATTTATTCTTTACCAGCAGAGGGCGCACTATCACGGTGGATTTGCTTCACGGTAGATTTGGCTCCGGCTCTGCAGCTTTCCATTATTGCACAGAACAGCCAGGACTGCTAGACCACCCGCACCTGTTCTGGCCCCGGCTACATCTATGGAGGATTGGCTGATCGATTGCTTTGTTCTTGATTTACCCGGAAATAAAGCATGACATTTCAAGCAGCGAAAAAAAATGCAACGAATTTTTGGACACAACATTTTTTTCAACATTGAATTTTTGGACACTGAATTTTCAAACATTGAATATTTTGACACTGAATTTGAAAACATTGCATTTTTGGACACTGAATTTTAAAACATTGAATTTATTTACACTGAATACTTTTTTGTTACAGTTTATAGAATTCAAAAGCAAAAAAAAGTGTTGATAATAAAAACACAAAATAACCTTCATAGTTAACAGGATTCTTTGTGAGTGTTATTGTTCCTTATGTAACGGCGAGCGGTTCCGTAACCACGGAACAGGGTCACAAAATCTAAAACAATGACCCTAATTTAGTTGCCACAACGCCACCCTGGAATTTCAGGTCCAGGGACCTGGATAGAAAACTAAAGAGAATTGAAATTTCACCCCGCTAAGGTCACACAGGTTCGACAGAACTGAGAGGAACGACAGACAAAAGCACGATTAATTTACATTATGTTTATTTTTAATTGGAAATAAAGTTTACAAAACTATTTAAAATTTTTAGTTATAAATTGTTTAAAACGCACACACACGCAGTCACACCACTCACTCAAACACTCACCCAAATCAAATGTACAAAACCAATAAACCAAAAAAGGTGGTTCAAAACATGTGCAGCCTGTTTGGGAACATCAGGAGCTTTGTTACCTTAAAACTTTTCGTTCTTCTGAGCGCCTTTGGGACTCCGTACCTTTGACTCAATACTCCAAAAAAGTCTATATAGGGGACCAGTCCTGAGTGGAGAGGTTCAGTCGGAAATCGATGTGGGAGGAAGCGAAACTTGACCCAGTCCTATGTAGCACCCAGAAGCCTGCATGGAACAAGCAGCGGAGATGAACGGCGGTACGCCGTGTCCGTGCTCTTCGCACCGGCGTTACGGAGACTGAAGCTGGTCAGGCGCAGGGCATATTACACGCCGAGATGAGGAGCTGACAAACGGAGCGAAGCCACACGTTGACGCCAAGGTCCAACACCGCGTTTATGACAAACCGCGGTTCGGAGGTTGCACTACGCTTTTAAGAGTGCTGTCTCGGCTTTACATTGTGATTTTAGTGGGTTGTCTGTGGCTTCGGTCCAGCTCCTCAGTGTCACGCGGAGGGAAGAGGCAAAAGGTGAGAGAAAGCGCACCCGCAGGAGTTTCCCCAATCAAGGCTCGGGCGCGGCGTGATTGGACTGCCAGCGGGGGAGGGCCTACCACTACATTCTACCCCCCCCACTTGGATCGTCGACCCGACGATCGACATGGACTAGTACCATGGCCGAAAGACTGCAGGAGCTGGATTTGATACCGAATTTTGGTTGTCTAGTATTGAACGTGGCAAATTATGGGGATTGGGGTGACGACCAGCGGTGGAGCGCGACGATTTTCTCGCACCAGTACCACCTGGGTCGACCGTTGAAAACAGCCCAGAACTAGAAGATGGTCCAGCAACTGGCGTTCCCATTTCCACGGTACATGCATGTCTTGGGGCCAGCAACGGAGGCTGCGAATCTACAGGCCGATGAGGGACAGGCCCCAGTTCGGGCGTACCCTCCGAAACAACATACCACAAATCTTCGTCATACGATGACTCCCTGAGTAAGTCCCGTGGTGAGACAGAAGAGGAACGCTCATTTTGAACTTCCCCAGGTTGGTTAATTTCAACAAAAACTTTTATCAACGAGCGATGAACTTGTTTAACCTTGGTCTGGTCTTGCACTGGAGCAATGGTGTAAACTGAACCTCCCTCCGATGGAGCTCTCAAGACAACATGCAGCACAGAGGACCACAAGTCTTGAATCTTACAACGACCCCGCACACTAGTATTGCGCACCAAAACCATTTGTCCTTCCCTCAAAGGCCCATCATGCACACGTTGGTCATGTTGGTCCTTTCGACGTTGGGCCGCTGCCCTCAAGCGTTCCTGAGCTCCATCAAAAGCCAGCTTCAAACGGGCTTGGTGCTCCAAAATCCATTCATGGGGACTACCAGCAACAGGATCGGACACTTGACCCAAAAGAAAATCAACGGGGAGTCGGGGTTCCTGACCAAACATCAAGTAGAACGGCGACTCGCCAGTTGACTGATGAGGCGTGGTGTTATAAGCATACAAGACTTGCGGTAGGCACGCACACCAATCGCGTTTCCGGGATGCCGGCAACGTGCGGAGTAAGTTGTGCAACGTGCGATTAAATCGCTCACACTGGCCATTCCCAGATGGATGGTATGGTGTTGTACGCGATTTCTCAACCCCATAAAGTTCACAAAGCTGGTGCACCAGCAAGCTCTCAAAACATCTGCCCTGGTCTGAGTGGATCCTAGCTGGGACTCCAAACTTTGAAAACCACTCCGACACAAGCACTCGCGCCACAGTAAGCGCCCGTTGATCTCTAGTTGGTACGGCAAGAGTGTACTTGGTGAAAACATCTGTGATGATGAGCACACTTTCCACTCCATTCTGTGATGGTTCCAACAAGGTGAAATCCAGTGCGATGATTTCATTTGGGCGTGAAGCAAGGAGGTGGCCCATCGGTGCCCGAGCTGGTGGACGAGAATCTTTGGCGACCTGACAACGCTCACATTGATGGCACCATTCTCTCACTGCCTTGGACATCCCAGGCCAATAGCAGCGGGATCTGAGCAATGCCAGGGTCCTTTCTACACCCTGGTGGCCGTGTTCATGATGCACCTGAGTTAGCACCTCCTCTATCAACGCAGCTGGTAGCAGGAGTTGGAATATGGCTAAACCACCATCAGGACGGAAAATCTTCCGATACAACAACTCACCCCGCTCAACTAAACGGTCCCACTGCTGGAGCAAGATCAAAGCAGAAGGAGAAAGGTTTCTCCGTTCCTCACTGTTTGGTCGTACCTTCGCTCTCCAAAAGGGCAGTACTTCCTGGATAACTACATCACTCGCCTGAAGGGCACGAATGTCACAAGAGGGGTGGCCAGGCAGGGCCGACACGATGGATTGGGTGGCCTCTACCTGTTCCTGACCACTCAACCTTTGCAGAGGATAAGGAATAAGCGCGCCTGGGAGCATTCCAGCAAGCTCGGATGAACGAAAGCCCGGTTGTCGGGACAAAGCATCCGCGCTTCGATTACTTTTGCCGGACCTGTACCGCAACTCAAAATCGAAAGACGCGAGCTGTGCAGCCCAACGCTGCTCCACAGCTCCAAGCTTTGCTGTCATCAGGTGACTAAGAGGGTTGTTGTCGGTGTAGACAACACACTTATGACCTAACAAATACTCTCGAAATTTGTCCGTCATTGCCCACTTAAGGCCAAGCATCTCGAGCTTCATTGAGCTGTAGTTCGACATGTTGCGTTCTGTAGGACGCAAACCACGACTTGCATACGCAACTGG